ATGTGAGACAAATCCAGATGGTTCTTGAAACCTATCCACAAGCTACAGACAAGAGCCCTGGTCTGAGCAAGATGAGCTGCTCCCTGTCTCCCACACGTGGCCTGCATTTCTGGTGCTAAGCTTGGTAGGGTTGTTCTCACAGAGCCATTTACCAGCATCTTCAGCATCGACGGAGAGCTGCTCAGAAATGCAGGACTTCAGGCTCACCCAGACCTACAGAACCAGAATCTGGACATTGACAAGATCCCAAGGGGATGTATAAGCACATTTGAATGTCTCTATAGATTTTCTCCTCCATCACCGAAGGTTCAAAATCTGCTAAACCTTGAACCCACTTTAAATGTAGCACCATGAGCCTTCCCCGGGCCCATTAGCAGGGACTCTCACAGTTGACTCTGCATGACTCTGGTTAATATGACTACTTTGTGTGTCACTTGAGTTTTTCTCAGGTGACCCCAGCAGGGGCATTAAAAGATTTAACAAAAGGCTGTCCTGGAAATGATGTTTCTGTCTCCACTTCACCTGATCTTCATGCTTTGTTTTCCTATTCCTGCCCCTGAACTCAGCACCATCCCCTCATCACAGTGCCCAGGCCACTTGGTGCACACAGGTCCCACAAGAGGAAAGCAGCTTCCCCCATTGGTACAACCCCACGGTGCTGAAAAATGGTGGTACTGCTATCAGTCTAGCAGTTGTCTTAGCTCCTACCCCCTTGCCCACAGCAGCCCCTCACCCTAGAGCTCAGGCGCTGATCCCTGAGGGCTGGCCAGGAAGACTAACTGAGAAGCCCCCTACTTGGCTCAGACACCAACCTTTCCCCAGCCAGCCCAGGCCACTGCAGGTGAATCTCCCCTTTCTCTTCCCATGTGCTATGCCCACTACCACCACCCCCATACTCAGGAACATCTTTGACTGTTTTATGGAAATAGACCTGGGGCAGACCCACCCAGAATGTCTAGAGGCTGGAAGCTTAGGTCAAGCCCTGCATAGGTTCATGCCTAAGGTCAGTCCTGCTTTCCATGGTTATGTTAGCATCTCTCCTAAAGGTACACTCTCTATCCTCTCCCACAGTGCCATACCTGATGCTCTGCACAGGGATGATGCTATCTGTATGCATGTTACGATAAGGTGACAGAGCAGTCTATGTGTCAGGGAACCACAGTGTGAGCCCAGAATGGACAAGAATGGAGAAACCAGTACAAACACTGCCATTGGTCTTCTCTGTCACCTTTGAGCTGACATTGCCTCATTCTCAGTCTCAGTTTCCCCATCAGAGAAGCAGATGGATGATTCTTAGGTCCCATTCCTATCCTTTCTGTGAAATGGTAAGAAAGAAATTTGGTCCCTGAAAGGAAAAAATATATAGAACAGAGGTCCCAGAAAAAAATAAGCTCTGGCCCACCTGGAGCTAAGAGTTAGCCAGGAGAAGAGTAGAAGGGAGGGGCTGGAGGATCAGTGTTGGAGAGGTATCCAGAAAGTTCCTGGCAAGTGCAGAGCCTAACATATATCTCACTGGAAGGCCTGCGCTGAGCAGCAGCACCCACAGGCAAGGGCATCCTGAGCTGGGTGGGGAGGGGCGGGCAGGTGAGTGCAGAAGGGGGCCGAGGCAGGCACACAGGCCGTAGCTTCTGATCTTTCTAGAAAGCTCACTTTCACTTCTTCTTCCCTTCACCCCTGACACTGAGTGGGAGTCTGCAGTGATGAGCAAGGTACACGTGGAGGATCCTAAAGATGAGGTCAGCCCGCTGGGAGGAAGGAAGAAAGGATTATTCACCAAGAGAAACTTTTCTATTCCTCATCTAAGAGTTTATGGGGAAGGGGTCCCAGAAGACCTAGGGGCTCTGGGGAGCATTGAAGCACTGACTCTTGCTTTCCCCTACACTCCCTTTCCTTGTCCACTCCCAGGCAGGAGGCTATCCCAGGCTTGTGCTGAGATGTTTACAGCACAATACCACGTGAGAGCTCCCGGGCTGCAGACCCAGCATGTGGAATGCAGGCTCCAGCCCAGTGCATTCTCTTCCTCAGGGAACTTCCAAAGCTGCCTCAGAGTGGGAATTTCCATGCTTTTCTCCCACCCTGGGACTGACCTCCCAGCTTGGAGAAAGCATCTCTTCTTCAGACAGCCGAAGTGGGAGGGAGGCAGACTCACTTTCAGAAGACTTGCTTTGATTCAGGCACTTTCACCTCCCATGTATATATTGTCTGATACTTGCAGTGGCCAGGTCACTTTCTGAAGATGATGGTTCCTCCTGCAGCAGAGATAGACCTTCCAACAGAAGTGGTCAGAATTTGTCCAAACACTCACCAAGAGAGGACACTCTTCACTGTGACCCTGGACCAGGTGGTTTCACTCCCTAGAATGTTGTTTCCTACATGAAAAGACACAAAAATGTAAAATTATCTACTGATAATGATGTGTGTGGTATTATCTTCAACTGGACTAATATACTGTGTATTAATGTTGGGAAAATTCACTTTGTATGCTGTAAAACTGTAGAGTGATTGAATGCAAAAAAAATGAGAAAATGAAATAAAGGAAGGGAGATTTTAAAAAGAGGACATTTACTGTAAGATCTCTATAGGTCCTTTGGGTCTGGAATTCTTGGAGTGATGATGACATGACTGAGCCAGGAGAAAGTGGTTTAAAGACCTCAGGATCTTTCAGATTGTTAACCCAGAGGAAAGTCAAGAACTGACTAGATTCCACAGGTAATGGAGATCCAGTCCTCCATGTCTCTGGAAAATGATGTACTAATAGAGCAGAGAGGGTTTTCCATTAATTTAAGAAAAATCTTGGAAGCTAAAGTTAAATAGTCTGGGAAGAAATGACTGCATGACATTGCAATCCGGTCCTGGAAATGTCTTATTCATTTGATAAGAATGAATTGAGCTATGGGCAAAGAACAGAGCTGTTTCGACACTACTGAGGAAGGAAAAGGGTCATTCAAGATTCAGACAAGATGGAAATAAAACTCCAAAGGAGGTATGAGTAAAGGAGTGCATAAGTTGACTTGTTCAGTCTTCATGGTGCCTTTTTATAATTCTACCTGAGTCTGGAATGGCTCCTCTACAGTCCCTGTTCTCAAATTCTGTAGGAAACCAGTATTCATCATGAGACATCAAATCTAGTGTCTAAGAGCAGGGATTCTGGAATCAGTGTCCTGGGTGGGAATCTGAGACTCTGGACATGCTCCTTAACTTCAGTTTCAACCTAAGGAAGGTTGGGCTGTTTGGAGAACTGAAGAGGCATGCTGGGGAAAGCACATGGGCACCAAGTCTGGTTCCTGGTAACCATTCAGTAAGGCTGATGTTGACCACTTACTATGAGCCAAACACGGGCATTTGTTTAATACAACCTATTTCTTATTACTGATGTAGAGATTGGCAAGTATTTTCTTCCAAGAAGCTCCATACATTCATAGACATTGACTCAGTGACATTATAAAGGAAGAACCACTAGATCCTTCCATGCCCATTGGGCAAGGTTCTGAAGGAGGTGGGTGTGGATGGGGGTATAGTTAAGAGACCTGAATTTGAGGTTCAGCTTAGCCACTAAAAGGCTTCAAGGAATCCTATCTGTAAGCGTAGAGAGTCGATTAAAATTAATTTTCAGATTTTTAGTTTCTATTACTATAATCTTGTGGTTTGGGGGAAATCAAAGGCAGAACTACAAAATGAAGCCAAACATTCCAATTCCCGAAATACTGCTTCTGTGCTCACTCGTGCTCCTTGGAAATCAAGAAGACACTGGGAGAACAGCCACCCTAGTAGGATGCACTTTTTGCCTATTGCTGCCTACTAATCACAGGCTCCAAGTCTCCTAAGAGTTTCTCAACTGCCCTTAATCTGTCTGCTAGTTTGGAAGATGCTGAGCACAGAGAGACCCAGAAACGTGACCTGGCTGCCAGCTAGAGAACTTGTGAATGGAGAAGAGTCATGGTGGTGACGCACGGACATGAAGCTGGCTTGCCTGGGTTTCACTTGAGGAGACCTGGAGCAGCTTATGCAATCTTTCTGAGCTTCGGTTACTTTTAAATTGGGAAGTAACAATGCTTACTAGATACAATTAGGGAATGTAAAGCCTTAACATATGTGAAGAGTGTAAAATATTCCTGGCACAGGGCCAGCAAGTGGCATAGAGATTAAAGCCCTGGATCCCAGACCTAGTGGCTTGAGAATCATATCTGGTGTGTATGCATGCATACCCAAAATCCTAAGAGAAGAGTGGAGGAGAAGGGATTGCAGCACAGCCACCCCCCTGGGGTAGGGGTCAGGAGGTTGTGTTATTTCTCACTTTCCAGTCTCTCTGTCTCTCTCTGATGAGTGTACATGCCCTATAGCAAAAATTAAAAAAGAAAAATCTGGCATAAAGTAAACAGGGTATGAATATTTACAAGGAAATGTCTCCTGTAGCACTACATGATCTATATGGCTTATTCCAAGTCTGAAATCTCATAACTCTAAGAATTCAGTCCAACATTGACAAAAATCCTAGAGTTTTGCTAGGCTTCCACTGTGCACCATCCTGCATTTTAAAGAGCAAACGAATGTAATAAACTATTGGGGAATCCACCAGATCTTCAAGGCCTCTACTGGCTTGAAAGCCCCTTGGACTGTCTGCTGAAGGTGAACAAGGGGCCATTCCAGACAAGCTTTCATCTCCTTGTGATCTTGTTTCCTCACTTTCTTCTGTTTCTGCAGAGTTCTCACTCCAGAAAAAGCAGAATCCTTCAGAATAACCCGCTTGGCTCAGGTCTGTGGTCAGTCTGGGCACAATGCCACCCCGTCTTCCCCACACTTAATTAAGTCTCAGAAGTAGATGGAAAAAGTGCCCAGTCCTGACCCACTACTTCCGTCTCCTACTTCCTAGAAACCTCCTGCACTTGCTCAGCAGATTTAAAGTTCCACTGCATCATTCATTGAGGAAGACAATGCCCTGGGGAAAGCCCTCCCTCCTGGCTCCACCCTCCTGACTTTCAATAAAAGGCTGCAACAAAGCTGCCAGAAGAATAGAGGCTGAGACCAACCCAGAAACCTCCAGCTCTCACTCTGCAGCTCGCCGCCTCCTCAGCCTCTACCATGAAGGTCTCTGCAGCACTTCTGTGCCTGCTGCTCACAGCAGCTGCCTTCAGCCCCCCGGTACTTGCTCAACCAGGTAAGGACAAGCCAGCTTCATCTTGAATGCATCACACTTTCTCTGGGTTATCATAACTCATCCACATCGAAGAGGTGCCCAGTCTTACTTCAGCAGCTGCTTTTTCCAGATGAGACAACAAAGACAAGGAGAGAGCCCAGTGATACAGCTGTCCTGGGCCAAGCCTGAAATACAATTTCAGCTATGGACCCCAAATCCGGCTCCTTCCAGGTCCCTAGCTCTAGAAACACACCCTAGTGTAGTTACTGCCCTGCTGCTTTTTAGCAGTGTTTGAGGACCAGAGTGACCAGGAGAGGGGGACTTCAGTGCTGGGTGTGTAGGCTGTTTCCAGATATGGGAGAGGGGAAAAGAGAAGACCAGAGTCCTAGTCTGTGCTTTGCACAGCCCAGCTGCCAGGGATAGCAGTTCTGCAGAGGAGGTGGGGACCAGAGAAACTCATGACCATGTATTTACTATTCAGGGCCTAAACAGAGACCCACAGCTACGGTCCCCAGCTAATATTCCCTGAGCCTGATCATTTGAATCACCAGCAGCACTCTCAGGAGTTGCCCAGTTTTAAAAGCTCCCCCTTTCTGTCTGTTCATTCATTATCAGAGTTGTATACCCATTTTGTAGCATAGGAAACTGAATCAATGTGATTAAAGATCAGAGTCCAGTTCTCAAGTATAGGCAGAAGTATTGGAATTTCATGGGGTCAACAGCAAAACTACATTCCTTTTGCCTTCTCACAACTACTTTTCTAGGTCTGATTAAGACCAGAAGAATGCAGTCCATCCTAAATTTTTTTTTTTCCTGTATGGTTTATTTTCCAGAGGGAGTTAATTCCCCTAGGACCTGCTGCTATGAATTCAACAATAAGAAGATCCCAATGCAGAGGCTGAAGAGCTATAGTAGAGTGAACACCAACTGTCCTAAAGAAGCTGTGATGTGAGTTGAGCCCACCAGCCTCCCTGATCCAAAGTTCTTCCTTAGGGAGAAGGGAGCAAACTGAGAACTCAGAGATACAGAGTCATAGAATTACACGCGCAGTCCAATACCCAAAGGTTCCTGATGGGAAAACTGAGGCCAAGAGGAGAAAAGAGATCTCAAAGCTCACTCTTTATCTGGGAGCTTATTCAGACCAGTCCAATGTTTAGCCCAAAGTCAGGATGGCTTCACATAGGACACCTTCGGAACCTACGTGGGTTCCTTCCCTCCTGACCTCCCCACCCAACCCTGTAACTTCCACAGTAACCCCTTAGCACAGAATGGACTGCACTCCTAGGCTGAAACTGCAGAGGAACTTCATCTAACTGTGTCCACTCTCTCCCCACAGCTTCAAGACAAAATTGGACAAGCAGGTCTGTGCTGACCCCAAGCAGAAGTGGGTCCAGGACTACATTGCCTACCTGGACAAGAAAATGCAGACAACAACGCCTTTACCCCTCAGTACCCTAGCAACTGTAACTAATGCATCTATCTCTAATGTTTCCCTGGCACCCTCTGTTTAATACAATTTTCTGAGTATGAACTTTGTTTATTGATATGAACTATAAGGTCTTAAATAATGTTAATTTTATTTAAGTTATTGACGTTTTAAGTTTATCTCTCATGAATACTGGTAATTTTTAGATACAGAGACTTAAGCAAATTGCTTTCCCTCTGCGAACTTAGATTTCAACTCTGGGATGTCATGACAGTTATTGCAAGGATCATTCATGCAGATATTTTTTGTTCTTGAATACCAAAGCATTGTTAAAAATACTGTGGAAATGAATATTGTGTAACTATTGAATAAAACATATATTTTTGTATAAAACCCGGCTGTTGGTGTTTTCTCAAAGAACATTACGAAGCTGAGAACACGAGCTTGGTGGTGAGGGGTGACATAGTCTTAGTAGGGCTTATGGTTTGGAGCAGCAAGAGTCTGGATCTGTCCTGCTCTTCCCCACTTGTGGTCTCATCTGTATATCCAGAAAAGAGTTTTTAAAATAGCTTATTTATTTTCTGAGAGAGAGAGAGTCTATTGACAGAGGCTGCCTACCATGATCTCCCCCATTCTAGCCAGTGAGACTCACAGGTGTATCCGCCAGTGCTCCACATGTTCAGTCACACTCAGGACTCACAGCCTCAGCCTCTCAGGTAACCTCCGGCAGTGCCCCTACTGCTGGGACCATAGAAGAATCATTAAATCTGGGTGCGATCAGGCATGCCAGTCCCCAAATCAACTAGCCAGTTACAATAACTCTAGTCACCTACTCAGCAACAACCCTACCCTATTCCTCTTCTCAGCGCCTCTGTTCCCTGCTTACTATCTTTCCTGTAATCTATTGCAACTCTCCCCTTGGTGGGCAATCCCACCTCATCTGTGTACTCTTCCAATTAATCCTCCAATCAGAGTAACACATGGTGGGAAATCAGGAGCAGACAATCGTCATCAGTAAGATATTTAGAGTAAGATTTCATAGAGAAGATAAGACTTGAACTTATTTTCAATGAATGCACTAGGTTTTGCCAGAAAACTTACAGGATCATTACTAAAAAGAGGGGCAATGGTAGTAAATTCTGGAGATATAAATGACCATGGGTTATAAATTGATGAGTGAGGAAACTAGTCAGATGGAGGGTGGGATCCATGTCAATGTCAAGCAAAAAGAAGTCTAGAACACAAGGTTGAACAAAACATGTATTTTTTTTCTAATTTTTTTTCTTATTTTCTGAATTCAATCACTGTATATATTTACAACATTGAAAATGCATTTTCCCATCATGAATACACTGTATGTTAGTCTAGTCAAATAAATTGCCATATAGATTTTCAATTTAGGGTGAGGCACAAGTACTCAATTTTGTAGGGTAAAAGAAATGGTTGAAAATCCTTGGTCCATGAGAAAGGTTGTGCCATTTACAGAAGTTCAGAGGTGATTTCCATGAAGTGCAATTTATTGGCTTCATACAGAGATTGTGAGTGGGGACAAGTAAGAAGCTATTGCTGTAGTCAAGGCAAGAGATGATGAGGGCCTTAATATGGAGCCTAAGAGGCAGCAGTGGGGAAGAATGAGCCAGCCAGGTGAAATGTTGAATTGTAGATGGAGGAGAATGATGATCTATGACTAGAGATACAGAAGCCCTTTTCTTAGCCCATGTTTTAAGGGAGCAGCCTCCCTAAAACCAGAATGCATTGTCCTTCCCAATTTAAGGATCCTGAGATTATCCATTTAAATGGATAAGTTTCCTCTTCCTAAAAGTCCCCCCTAAAGGTCTGTCTTCCATTACAAGGCAATAGACCCACCTGCCAGAAGTCTGGAGCACTTGGGCATCCAGACAGCCCTCCACTCAGGAAAGCAGATATCTTGCTCTGTGGAAGAAACTACGTGGTACCCACCTTCCCAATCTGCTGGTGAGATGGGCAGTCTGGGCCAGAGCAGGCAGTGCCTTAGGCAGCATCAGGTGCTACCTGGAAAGAAGGATGCTTGAGTTCTAATGAGAGGCAGAGCTGGCACAGACTCACTCTGTCACTTGGGACAAATCAGGCATTCTGAGCCTGACCAATAACATGGGGACAATAATGTGTTACAAACAGGAACTCGGGGAAGGGGAGAGGATTGTGCTTGTACATTCTTGAGCCAGTGCAAGGATCCTGAATGAATGTGAGGGCTTCTATTAATCAAAGCCCTAAGTGTCCTGACACACAACGAATTCGCACCGACTTATGGGACTTACTGACCTAGCTCCAGGTCCCATAATCCTCCTTGCCTCTCCTGCACCCCTCCAGTCAGTCTTCCTCGCCCATCAAGATGAAATCTCAAAATACTGTGGATGCCACAGGCAAAAAAAGGGCTGGAGTACAGCAAATGAGTCCCGGCCACTGAGCAGCAGTGGCTGCTGCCCTCTGAGCCAGGCTGATTTGAGCCTGAGTGCCTGGGAGGAGGAGAGGCAGAGCAAGGGCATTTATGTATTCAAACCCCGGTCTACTCACATCTCCCTTCTGAACTGCAGATATATTCATTTTCAGGAGATCTTGAATTCTTTTGTTTTTTGTTTTGTATTTTCCTTTTCTATGGAGAAGCATGAGATCTCTCGCTCCTTGCATTCTGAAACTGAGCACAGAGCACTGGCAATACTTCAGCCCTATTTTAAGGAGGAAGGCAAAGTGAATAGCATTCATTTCCTCTGCTGCCAACAGCCTGTTCCAGAAAATCTGGGCTTTTTCTGTCATGATCAAAGTTCCTCTAGCCTCTGCCTCTTGCCCAAACCCAAAGCACTCTCCGCTTTTTGGGCCTGTGTTAAGGCCATACCCATGTCCAGGAACCTTATCTTTATCAGTGTCTTCTATTATAATAGACTACCATAAACTTAATGGTGTAAACAACACAAATATATCCTTCTACAGATCTGGAAGTCAGAGTTCCATAATGAATCAGTAAGGCTGCATTCTTCCTGGAGGCTCTACTAGACAATCCATGCTCTTCCTTTTCCAACTCCTACAGACTACTTGCACTCCACAGATCACAGTCACTTCTTACACCTTAGAAACACCTCTCCCTCTCTTTTTCTCTCCTGCTTCTATGTCACTCGTTTCTCTGTTTTTCGTGTTTTTTGTTTGTTTGTTTTAAGGAATGATTTAATTTTATTTATTCATTTATTTACTTTAACTTGACCAGAGAGAGACACACAGAGAGAGAAAGGGAAAGTGAGAAAGCAAGCCACCAGGTCCAGGACTCGAACTGAGGTCGGACAAGTGAGAGTGTCCAGCACCTCAACCACCATGCAATCTGTTGGCCCCTGTTTCTCTGTTTTTGATCTCTGTACCTTTATCTTTAAAGGATCAATGTGGGAAACAGCAGATGGCATAATGGTTATGTCGCTGGACTCCCACATAGTTGACCATGGTTTGAGTCCTGGACCCAGTGGCTTAAAACTCACCCTAGATGTGTGTGCATTCATGCCCAAAATCCCAAGAGGAGAATGGAGGAGAAGGGATTACAGCATGGCCATCTCCCTGGGGAGTGATTTCTCACTTTCTCTCTCTCTGTCTTGCTTTGTCTTTCCGTTAAGTGCACACACCCTATAGCAGAAATCTCTCTTAAAAATAAATAAATATCCTTTGTGGGTAACTTGTTATTTCTCTCTTGCTAGTTTGAGTATCTTGTCTTTGTCTGTGGTTTTGGTCATTGTGGCTATAATGTGCCTTGGAGATCTTGAGTTGATCCTATTTGGAGTCCTTTGTATTTCTTAGGTCCGGATCTTTGAATGCCTCTCTAGATTTGCAAAGTTTTCCTCCAGGATTTAATGGAATAAATTATCAATGCCCTTATTAGTCTCTTCACCTTCTGAGATCCCAATTATCCAGATGTTTGGACGTTTAATGGTATCTAGTATTTCTCGTATATGATTCTCATCTTTTTGGACTATTTTCTCAGTCTTTGTGGTGGATTTTTCTAGGCCAGTGATTCTGTTTTCTACATCCAAGATTCAATCTTCTGGATGATCTAGTCTGCTTTTAATACTTTCAAGGGAGGTTTTGATTTCCTGTGTTACAGCCTTCATCTCTAACAGTTCCATGGGACCAGCAGTTAGCGTAATGGCTATGTCGCTGGACTCCCACGTAGTTGACCGTGGTTCGTGTCCCGGACCTGGTGGCTTAAACTCACGTCGGGTGCATGTGCGTACATGCCCAAGATCCCGAGAGGAGAATGGAGGAGAAGGGATTGTGGCATGGTCATCCCCCCTGGGGGGAGATTTCTCGATTTCTGTCTCTCTGTCTCTCTCTGTCTGTCTGGCGAGTGCACGCGCCCTATAGCAAAAACCTCTCAAAAAAAAATGATGATTCTAACAGTTCTGTTTGAATTTTTTTCTTATGATGTGTATTTCCTCTTTCAGATCGTACAAGAATTTCCTCAACTCCTGAAACTCCTCGGCTCTATTCTCTTGCCTCTTCTGGAGTTCATTCTCTCTCTGCTCTTACATCTCTGTTAACTTCATCATTATGAGTATTCTAAATCCTATATTAGACATTTCCACGAGTTCCATTGTATTGTCTGTGGATGAAGAGGAGTTATTCTTTTCCCTTGTGGGGGGGGGGATTATCTTGGTTTCTCATATTTCTTGGGTCTTTGTGGTGATTTCTAGTCATCTGATGGGTTATACAATTCTTCCTCATTTCTAGAAGCTCAGTCTAAGCATTTAGGGGCATGCAGAAGGAGGTGATCTGCAATTTCTTTGGCATTCCATTTTTATCCCTTTGTGTAGCAGATTCATATGGGAAGAAAAGACAAGAACATTCTCAGATAAATAATACCTAAAAGAATTTACTGACACCAGACCAGTTCTCCAAGAAGTTCTGAAGGGAATGCTATATCAGGAAAACTAAAGTAGAACACAGAGATAAGAGTTAAGAAACATCTAAGAAAAGGGCCAGCTTAATGGTAGGGACAAGTCCAGAGTTGAATATTATCTTCCAGAATTTAAACGGAAAGCTTAGACCACAACAGAAGTTAGATTAAGTACATGAGACTAAGCTGATAAAACAGAATTTTATGACTTTTGACTAAAACAATACTGATCTTTTTCTATGCTTGGTAGTCCAGAGATAAGGACTTTTGTCCTCTCTTGAATTGTCGACAGATTCAGGTAACTACTATTTGAACAGATTCCTAACTTGCTTCCTGGCTTTAAGTCTTAAGCAAAGTTCTCTTAACATTTTTTGATTTTGATTTATTAAAGCTAAAACTGCCTTTCTTGAAATTAAAAAAAAATATTTAACAATACCTATTGATGACCACAGTAAGCAATATAGCCTTGGCTAGGTGCTATTTT